CCCTCCATGGGTCCCTGTGGGGCTCCCCTGTGGCTATATCTCCCGCCCGGGGGCCCTGTGGGGGTTCCCTGTGGCCATAGCTCCCTTCCTGGGGCCCTGCGGGGCTCCCTAGGGCTATAGCTCCCTCTCTGGGGCCCGGTGGGGCACCCTGGGGCTATGGCCCCCTTCCTGGGGCCCTGTGGGGCTCCCTGTGGATATAGGATCCTCCCTGGGGCCCTATGGGGCTCCCTAGGGCTTTAGCTCCCTCCCTGGGGCCGTGTGGGCGCTCCCTGGGGCCCTGTGGGTCTCCTTGTAGCTATAGCTCCCTTCCTGGGGTCCTATGGGGCTCCCTGGGGCTATAGCCTTCTCCGTGGGGTCCTGTGGGGCGCCCCTGTGGCTATATCCCCCTCCATGGGGCCCTGTGGGGCTTACTGTTGCTATAGCTCCCCTCCCTGGGGCCCTGTGGGTCTCCCCTGTGCCTATAGCTCCCTGTCTGGGGCTCCCTGTGGCTATATCACCATCCCTGGGGCCCTGTGGGGCTCCCCTGTGCCTATAGCTCCCTGTCTGGGGCTCTGTGGGGCTCCCTGGGGCCCTGTGGGGCTCCCCTGTGGCTATAGCTCCCGCCCTGGGGCCTTGTGGGTGCTTCCTGGGGCCCTGTGGGGCTCCCTGTGGCTATAGCACCCTCCCTGGGGCCCTGTGGAGACTCCTTGGGGCCCAGTGGGGCTCCCTGGGGATATAGCTCCCTCTCCGGGGTCTGGTGGGGGCTCCCCTGTGGCTATAACTCCCACACTGGGGCCCTACGGGGCTCCCTTTGCCTATAGCTCGCTTCCTGGAGCCGTGTGGGTCTCCCTGGGGCTATAACCCCCTCCCTAGGGCCCTGTGGGTCTCCCTGGGGCCCTGTGTGGCTCCTAGTAGTTATAAACCCCTCCTTGGGGCCCTGCGAGGCTCCCCAGTGGCTATAGCTCCCGCCCTGGGGCCCTGTGGGGCTCCCCTGTGGCTCTAGCTCCCTCCCTGGGGCCGTATGGGGGTCCCTGGGGCTATTGCCCCCTCCTTGGAGCCTTGTGGGGCTTACTGAGGCTATAGCGCCCCTCTCTGAGGCCCTGTGGGGCTCCCTGGCGCTATAGCACCATCCCTGGGGCCCTGTGGGAACTCTCTGGGCCCCTGTGGGGCTCTCTGTGGCTATAGATCTTTCCCTGGGGCCCTGTGGGGCTCCCCTGTGGCCATAGCTCCCTCCCTGGGGCGCTGTGGGGCTCCAGGCGGCCCCTGCGGGGCTCCCTGGCGCTATAGCTCCCAAAGAGGGTACACAGTACATGTGGGGGGGGGGGGTACCCTAGGGCCCTGTGGGGCTATAGCTCCCTCTCTGGGGCCCTGTGGGGCTCCCTTGTGGCTATAGCTCCCTCCCTCGGGCCCTGTGGGGCTCCCTGTGGCTATACCTCCATTCCTGGGGCCCTGAGGGGTTCCCTGGGGCTTTAGCTCCCTCCCTGGGGCCCTGGGGGCCTTTCTGTGGCTATAGCTCCCTCCCTAGGGCCCGGTGGGGCTCCCCTGTGGCAATAGCTCCCTCCCTAGGGCCCTGGGGGGGGGCTTCCTGTGGCTATAGCTCTCTCCCTAGGGCCCTGTGGGGCTCCCCTGTGGCAATAGCTCCCTCCCTAGGGCCCTGGGGGGGGCTTCCTGTGGCTATAGCTCCCTCCCTAGGGCCCTGTGGGGCTCCCCTGTGGCAATAGCTCCCTCCCTAGGGCCCTGGGGGGGCTTCCTGTGGCTTTAGCTCCCTCCCTGGGGCCCTATGGGGCTCCCTGGCGGCGCTATAGCACCATCCCTTGGGCTTTGTGGGGACTGCCTGGGGCCATGTAGGGCTTACTTTGGTTATAGCTCGTGTGGGGGGTACACAATACATGTGGGGAGGGTGTACACAGTACATTTGTGGGGGGGGGGGTTACACAGTACATGGGGGGGGTACACTGTACATGTGGGGGGGGGTACACAGTACATGTGGGGGGGGGGTACACAGTACATGTGGGGGGGGGTACACAGTACATGGGGGGGGTACACAGTACATGGGGGGGTACACAGTACATGTGGGGGGGGTACACAGTACATGTGGGGGGGTACACAGTACATGTGGGGGGGGGGTACACAGTACATGTGGGGGGGGGTACACAGTACATGTGGGGGGGGGGTACACAGTACATGTGGGGGGGGTACACAGTACATGTGGGGGGGGTACACAGTACATGTGGGGGGTACACATGTGGGGGTACACAGTACATGTGGGGGGGTACACAATACATGTGGGGGGTACACAATACATGTGGGGGGTACACAATACATGTGGGGGGGGGGGTTACACAATACATGTGGGGGGGGGGTACACAATACATGTGGGGGGGGGGTACACAATACATGTGGGGGGGGGTACACAATACATGTGGGGGGGGGTACACAATACATGTGGGGGGGGGTACACAATACATGTGGGGGGGGGGTACACAATACATGTGGGGGGGGGGTACACAATACATGTGGGGGGGGGTACACAATACATGTGGGGGGGGGGGTACACAATACATGTGGGGGGGGGGGTACACAATACATGTGGGGGGGGGGGGGTACACAATACATGTGGGGGGGGGGTACACAATACATGTGGGGGGGGGTACACAATACATGTGGGGGGGGGGGGTACACAATACATGTGGGGGGGGGGTACACAATACATGTGGGGGGGGGGTACACAATACATGTGGGGGGGGGGTACACAATACATGTGGGGGGGGGGGGGGGGGGGGGGTACACAATACATGTGGGGGGGGGGGTACACAATACATGTGGGGGGGGGGGGGTACACAATACATGTGGGGGGGGGGGGGTACACAATACATGGGGGGGGGGGGGTACACAATACATGGGGGGGGGTACACAATACATGTGGGGGGGGGGGTACACAATACATGTGGGGGGGGGGGTACACAATACATGTGGGGGGGGGGTACACAATACATGTGGGGGGGGGGGTACACAATACATGTGGGGGGGGGGGTACACAATACATGTGGGGGGGGGTACACAATACATGTGGGGGGGGGGGGTACACAATACATGTGGGGGGGGGGGTACACAATACATGTGGGGGGGGGGGTACACAATACATGTGGGGGGGGGGGTACACAATACATGTGGGGGGGGGGGTACACAATACATGTGGGGGGGGGGGTACACAATACATGTGGGGGGGGGGGGGGGGGGGTACACAATACATGTGGGGGGGGGGTACACAATACATGTGGGGGGGGGTACACAATACATGTGGGGGGGGGGTACACAATACATGTGGGGGGGGGGGTACACAATACATGGGGGGGGGGGTACACAATACATGTGGGGGGGGGGGGTACACAATACATGTGGGGGGGGGGGGTACACAATACATGTGGGGGGGGGGGGGTACACAATACATGTGGGGGGGGGGGTACACAATACATGTGGGGGGGGGGTACACAATACATGTGGGGGGGGGGGTACACAATACATGTGGGGGGGGGGTACA